ATGGAGCCACACGGGGGTGGAGGATCCAGCCACACTGGCAGGGGCTCGTGCCTCACTGGGCTGCCCTTGGCCTTTTCACCCAGAGCAAAGCCTGCCCACCCTGCCTGCTCCTGCCTGTACCTGCCCATCCTGCCTGCTCCTGCCCACCCGGGGAGGAGGGCTGCTGGTACCTGGGGTCTGACCTCAGAGGAGACAGTGATACCAGCACTGACACTGGGAGCTGGGGGAGTCGCAGTCAGGGGAGGGGGAGTGGGTTAGAAACCCCCAGGTCCAGTTCCCATCGGGCTGTGCTGGCACCTAACCATGCTCAGGGGTGCACAGGCAGCTGCTCTGCCCTCTGCTCCCTGCCAGTGAGGAGGGGATTTCCAGAAGCTGCGGCTCTGCCCTGGTCCTGTCCTTGTCCCTCATCCTGGACAGTGTTCTGAGAAAACAGCCTGGGAGTGACCTAGGGAGGATCCACATCTCCCTGCTCTGCCGTGGGCAGGGCAATGGTGAGGGGGCTCAGCACAACAGCTCCCACAGATCACACCCCAGGCTGGGAGATAATCATAGTCACCAACTCATTAGTCGGCCCCAGACAGATGGGATGAACTTTTATCCACCTGGGATTTCACCCCGTGTGGCAGCCACATGGTGACACACAGGACCTGTGGGGTCTAATTATTGTGGCACCAGTGCAGCTGCTCAGCTGCTGGTTCCCCACCGTGCTGCTCCCCGTGCAGGGAAGGCCATTACAGGCTTCCAAAGGAGTCAAACATTAACTGGCAGGTCACCTTGCCCTTACTGGGGTTTTTCCACTTGCACAAACCAGATCTGCCAAAATAAATACCTTTTGCTGTGCGGGGCAGCTGGGCTGGAGGTGCTGGTGCTGTGGGTACAGCCCTGCTGTGCGTTTGTGGGGTGAGCAGGGAAACCCCGGGTGTGAGCACCTCAGCACAGCATGTCCCATCGTGGGCTGACAGAGGGTGCAGGGGAGGTTCAGGGTGCCAGAAGGTAGAGCGTGGCACCAACTCAGGGCAGTGGGTACAAAGCTGCCCCAGACACCGGCCCCTCCTGCCCCTGCTGCTCCATGCACCCCTTGCAGCACCCATGGCACCGGCACAGCGGGTACCAAGGGACCCTGGGACACCCCCCAGCTGCTCACCTTCAGCTACGGCCACCATGCAGGAGTAAACAAGCTATTATGAATTACTTATTAATTACTGCCCCATACTGATGTGTCCTGGAGTAGCCAGGGCAGTGGCAGTCCCTGCTCCCCAGGAAGGTCCCTCATGCTGGGACCCCTGTGCATGGCACCCAATCAAATGCAGAGCTGGAAACCTCCCTACAGGTGCCTGTCCCTGACTGGCTCCTGGGGGACACTGTCCCCTGTGGGAGATGGGTGGCAGGGACAAGGAGACCCAGAAACACACTCTGGCTTCCAGCAGGTGTGATGCTGATGGCCCAGGTGGGCATCCCAAACATCTTCCCCACCTGGGACTCTGCCCCAGGGAAAGGTATAAATAGGATGGGGCTGGGAAGGAGCTGGTTTTGTGGTGCCCAGCTGTTCTTAGCTCCCAGTGCTCCCAACTGTCAGATCCAGCAGGCTGCTTGTCTCAGTGCTCCTGGATATGGAGAAGCTGCAGTGAACCAGGCTCCAGGTAAGCACCCACCTGCTGCTGCCTGACCTCCTAGGACAGCCTCTTGTGGTGGGCCCCATGTTTTTGGCTTCTCTAGTAAACGTCCTGCAAGGCAGGAGGCTGGTCCCCTGTCCCAGTGTCCCCCTCCTGACCTGGCCACCACAGGGGAGTCAGGCTGTGCTCCAGGCAAAGTGTGGAGAACTGGTGTTTAATACTGAAGGAAGATAGAAAGTCTTTGAGCAAAATGGCTTAAGGCTCTGCTTTAGTGAGGTGTGGCCAGGCTAAACACTGAGTTCCCACCTTTTAAAGATTGTGCCCTGGGATGGGTGGGAATGGGGTACAATGGACTCCTAAAGCTGCAGTGCTTGCTCAGGGCTGGTGCTTGGCCAGGCTGGAGCTGGACTGCTGTGTGGTGGTATTACCTGCTAATGCACCCAGCCTGTCCCTGCTCTGCAGCTGCCTTGGCTCTGGGAGCTTGTGCTGCTGGTGGGAAAACTGCTCCGAGGTCCCTGTGCACCCCCAGGCCTGTGCAGTGATTACCCAAGTGCTAAAGCTGCTGCTGGCATCCCCTGGGTGCTGGCCCCTGTGCCTGCAGTGACCTGAGGGCAGAGACCTACACCTATCACCAGGTACCCCCAACATGCCAGGGACAAAGAGTCTGAGCCCTCCAGGTGCCAAAGAGCCTGGCAGTGCATATAAGTAGTCCACCCTGACAGCTGAGGGCCAGGACAGAGGCTGGCAAGTTCCCACCCCAGAAGAGAAGGAGCAAGGCTTGTCGTGGCTGCCCAGCACAGTGCTGCCCTGAACCCCCTTCTGCAGCTCCTTCATCCCTCCCAGCCTCTTGGGTGACTCCTGCTTTTCCTTAGGCTGGGGTCACTTCAGACAAGCTGGGATGCAGGAGAATGTCCTCTTCACCCGCAGCAGGAAGGGAGTTGTGCTCCTGATGTCTCTGCCTCTTGGGACCAGTCCTTGCACAGCTCCCTCTGTCCTGGATGTTCCTCCTCTCCCTGCTGGCAGCAAAGCTTTCATTTCTTCTTCATCGTTGAAAGGGGATGTCCCGTACCTCTGCTTCAGGTGCCTGCGGACCTGGGAGAAGGAGGGAGAAGCAAACTAAGGTCCTTGTTTCCAAGGGCAGGTCCAAGCCTGCCAGGAAGGAGAGTGGAGTAGTGACCCATTTCCCCCAGAAGGTCTGAGACTGATGGGCAGGGAGCAGGGCACAGGTGCCAGAGGCTGGGGCCACCTTGCGGGCTGCGCTGCCGTTGAACTCAGCC